TTTCAGTTACTGCAAAGCATCCAGGCAATAGTCCAGCATGCATGCCGCGTGCGGCTATGGCCAACATGCCCACTTGCGCAAGGCGCTGGCGCACGTGGTCCTCATCCGCCAAGAAAATTTATATACACTTGTACAGGCGCATTTTGTGAATCGCACGCGCGCATCTGCGCGGCAAAATTCGCTCCTGGAATTTTTGGACGATGTACGGATGTTTTATTCGCGAAGTACGACCGGACACATTTGTGCGAGAGGCTGCTTAAGAACTGAATTCTCACTACAATTCTTCAACCACTCGATTCAATTCACTGCTGGGTTTGATCGTAGTCCCACAATCGCTTCCTGCCTGCCACCTAACCCATTTGGATCACGTTTCCGAGTAGGGCTCGTTGATTGGCAGTATCGCAAAGTTAACGTAACAGGACTACGATTCCTGGGTGTAAGCCGCTTCCGCAGACCGCAAGGTGGGAACCTTGGGCACCGCCCTTGGTTTCGGAACGTGCCCGGTTTCGTTGAGCAGCCCGCGCTCTGCAACCCCTTGACAGCTTTCATACTGTACAGACCCGGCACCTTAGCATGCATAACGTTTTTACTTCAAACGCTATCCTCTGCTGTCTTAAAACATGTAATGCAGCCAAGATACCTCGTTGCCCTCTCAACGAGCAAGGCGCCTGCAGCAGCCCTTCCCCGCCCTACCCTTGCCCTCCCGTCCGTGGCCCCGAACCACCTCAGGCTTAGCACCTCCTCCAGGCTCTTCAGTCCTGCCTAGAAAAATGCGGCGCTACAACACGTTTGAGGAATTCTACCCCTTCTACTTAACACAGCATCGCCGGCTCGGCACGCGGGTTTTGCACATCTTCGGCACGTCGCTGGTGCTGTTGAACGCCGGATGGGCCCTGGTGGCCCGCCAGCCCCGCCTGCTGCTGTTGGCGCCGGTGCTGGGGTACGGACCCGCGTGGCTGTCCCACATGCTCTGCGAGTGCAACCGGCCGGCGACATTTCAGTACCCGCTGTGGTCTCTAATGGCGGACTTCAAGATGTTTGTGGACATTCTGAGGGGAAGAGAGCGGCTGTCAGCATAACAGGACAGCGAATGATGTGTCCCATGCTTCGTGCTGCTACGCAGCATGGGCGTAGCAAGACTTCTGCGTTTAGGGTACTTCGTATCGCGCTAAAGGCTATCATTGAAATGCGGTAGAGGGTAGGATGCATATGGATGCACGACCCATGGGACACCAGGATGCACTTACAGGTTTGCGGGCAGGTGCATCGCCGGTGGGCGGGGAAGCTGTTTAATGTCAGTTAAGATACGGCTTTTAGGGTTTGCAACATCCAAATCTTCATTAAGCGGAAGGACAAATATTTTTTACAGTTGCAGGATGTTTTGAATCTTTATTTGGCCATGTTGCCGTGATGCTCAGGTGAAAGATTCTTCCCTCAGATGGGGTCAAGATGCGCTTCCTCTCGTGTCGCGTCGGGGCCAGATTAGGGCCAGCGGCCCTCGGACGACACGATGGATATGCCTCTAGCCCGATTTCGTTGCCTTTGTTGTATCGTGTCCAGCTGCTTGCATCCACCACTTGACCTATGCCTTCATCGTGACGTCATACATGGGTTTCCAAACGCCCGGCAACGCAAGAAGGATGAGTGGAACGCTGCAGCGGACGGCAGCTGCTACGAAACGTGAGGTGCCACACACCGAGGTGATGGTCCTTCGGCAGCAACGTCAACAGTAAGACGCTTGAAAAATGAGTCAAGGTGCTGCCGCATCTGCTGCTGCCGCTGTTACTTGCGCTGACGACAAGGAATGTTACGTATAGAATGGCAACGCACCTTCGAACAGGAAGCCAACTCACATTCCCCCACGAACAGCGGAAACTCATTCGTGCTCACGATTTCGCAGTCACGATTACCGGCACTCCAGTGTTGCCACTCTCTCGTGTTAGCTATGCCTGCTCGCTCTCGTACCTGCACTCCCTGGCACGCACACGCGTCACTCGAGACGGCTCAGAGGAAGCAAACTCATCCTGCTGTCCTGACAGACTCGCCGTTCATGAATAGAGATCATCCTACGTATATACAGTACAGGGATGCACTAACGCGCTGTACCGTCTACCCCGTATCATCGCGGTGCAGTGCAGTCATGCAGTCCCTTCCTGAGTCCGACACCCACCGATCGCGCCGACACCAACACAGCCCCTCACTTGCAGCCTGCACACACAAACACACACACACACACACACCTGTTCATGCATCCCGCTCCAACTGATGTTGTCACTCACTGCTGTCACTACCAGTCCTCCAAAACGTCCAAGCAGCCCGCATCATCCCTTTGTGTCCCTGACCGAGCTCCCTCCACAACCCCATCCCCAGCCGCATCGACCCGGGAAGGGCTCCGAATGTCATCACCCTTGCTGCCCAAATCATCCCCGGCCGCAACGCCGGCCGACTCGTCGCGCTCTCCCGCATCGCCATCGGCACTATCATTGCCGACAGAAATTCCCCCATGCGCCGGCGGCGCGTCCCCTTCCTCAAGGGGGTGATGCCCGGCCGGGCTGCCCCCGGCTGCTGCCCCGTCCCTAGCCATCTCGGACACGGCGGTCGGCTCCATTTGGTTCAAACAGGTCACCAGCCCGCTGGCCGCCACGGCCGCAAGCGGACTGCCATCCTCCATGACCTTGCAGTACACAGGTTGGGAACATGACGACGCAAGGAAGGGGCAAGGAGTCGCAGCGGTAAACCCCTCACAGCCAAGGTCAGTTAGAAAGGCGATGCAGCTGCTGTAAGAAAGTCATCCCGCAGTCTACCAGGCGCTCGTATGGACTACTATCGCCTATTGCTTAGGGCTCTTTGCGTCCCACCAAGTACCCCAACGACCCATAAACGCATTCCTCCAAATTTCACCCATCCAATTCCCGTTTAGCCGCCCGTCGTCCTGTGAAATAAGTCCGTCCCCGCTTCCCCCTCCCCGCCTGCCGCACCTCCTCCGGCTCCTTCCACCGCAGTCCAGCCACCTTGCCCTGCGGCAGCAGGTCCCGCGTGTCGGACGCGGTGGCGGTGTTGAGGCTGAACAGCTGACGCAGCTCCTCACGGGTAAATTTGCCACCCCCCTTGCTGCCGCCCGCCGCTCCGGAACCCCCAGTCACAGTGGCGCTGGCCAGGTCCGCCTTCATGAGCTGGCGCTGATACACCTGACGACAGGCAGGCGGGTCAGGTGTGGAGATACACGCGAGCCGAGGTCACAACCAAACTTTCCTGAGATCCTATTTGGCGTTTAGGAAAGGCTACGAAAGGCTGTCAATGACATGTTTTGTTGATACCCTGGTCAACGCACTGATTTCAATTCAAGGCACATTGTCGATGCAAGGCACACCAGTAATTAACTCATTTTGCCTGTGGGAATAATATATGCAGGGAGATGGCCAGCGGTACTACTGGTAAGTCGTGCGATAGAAAAGTGTTCCCCCTGGCACATACGCAACTCAACGCCTTCACGCTGCCTCACCTTCTCCTCAATGGTTCCAGTCGTGAGGAGGCGATACACGAAGCAGGGTTTGGTCTGACCGTCACTGCGCAAGTCAAGAAGTCAGAGGTCAAAGGTCGCGTAGAGTAAGGCTCTGATCAATAGTGGAAAGCTGCTGTCGGTTCTGGACGAGAAAGAGCTTGCCGACGAGCCTTGACCCGCTTCTTGCTTCTCCTCCAAACCCTCCAGATGTTTTGCCTGGGCGCTAGCGGTACACAAGACAAGGGCTGCCAAACCTGACCCGCCCGAACTCCAACCCCTTGTCTCAAGGGGTTGGAGAGAGATATGCCCCTGGCCCCGGACCGCTTTCCCCAATCCTTACCGCCAAATGCGTGCCATCGCCTGCTGGTCTGCGAAGGGAAAGGGCATTGTTGTGCAATCACACAGTTCCGTGGGAAGTGAATGAGTGACCAAGGGGTTCCCCCACGTGACGCCTGCATGTTCACTGATCACCGCCGTCGCTGTACTGTACATTTGCTCCGGTGGCAGCGTCTGGAAAGGATGTGTTCGGTAGTGCTTACGGCCGCGAACGGCATGGACGATATCGGCGAGAACCGAGGCACATGCGACTTAAGACAGGCTTCAAAACGAGGATGGCGCGTTTACGTGCGAATCCATTGCACCCCAACGGTATGCCGCCCAGCCACTGGATTGTGCGACACCCTACCCTGAAAGCTACAGAACAGCAGCCCCTATTGCTGCTGCCCTCCCAGACTTACCCATCGCGGGATTCCAATCACTGCAGCAAGGACAAGGAGGGCCAGGGAAAGGCGCAGGGGTGGGGCGGACACCGAGGTAAGAACCCCTCGCGTAGTGGGGCATATGTCGCCGTTTCGGCATGTTACCTACCAGACCCCCGCCCACATGCCGCCCTAACCCTATGCGCTCCTGCGCTAATGCACACACGTCCGGCTTGCCACCATGGAACGAACTACGCCTGGTGTCCGCCAGGGGAGTTTTCCCATGGTGCTGTCGTACCTGTCGTACAGCACCAAGTGGCAGGCGCCCACCAGGTTGAGCCCGGCGCCTCCGGCCCGTGTGGACAACAGAAATACCTGCAACCAACAAGCATGACGATGGAAGGGAAACGAAAATAACCAAAAACGCTCTGCCCGGGTCTAATGCAAATTGGACCGCCCGGAAGGGTGCATACACCATGGTGCTAATCAGGAAGCCCACCTGCCCCATTCCCAGCTTGTTGAAGTTATCTACAACGGTCTGGCGGCCCTCGACACTCGTGCCGCCGTCGATGCGAACGGTCGTCAGCCTATTACCGTTGGGGGCGGGGGGATGCGATTTAGTAAAGCCAGCCAGGCATGAGCAAACCTTTTAGGCTTTAGGGCGGGACGAAGCCGGGCAGTTGCTGCACTAGACGTCCCTGTCCATTAATGCGTACAGCTTAATGAACGTTTGCAGACCCCGCCCTCCCCACTTACCCTTGCGCCTTGCACACCAGCTGGCCCACCAGGTCCAGAGTGGCGGTGCTGGTGGACACCACCACACACCGCTCACCTCGCGCCGCAATCGCAGATAGCAGCAGTGACAGCACCTGCATTTTCCCTGCGTAGCAACAAAATATGGACAAGGAACAGGAGGAGGAGGGCCGGCAGGGGTAAAATCAATGCTTCGCAAAACAGAAAGAATGAAGTACTGCTGTCTACAAACTTGTAAAAAATCTGTATGCCGCAAATCTGTCGCCATATAATGCAAACCTATTTTAAAACTGTTGTTATCTACAGACCAAGACGGCCATTGGGCCTGAGCGCAACGCACAAGAGAGGCAAAGCAGCGCCCACAGCACCAGCTCACCCACCCACCCACTCACCAGCGGCTTGATGCGACCCGGTTGCTGTGAACTGCTTGCTGAAGCTTGGAAGGCAACTGGAGGAGCACGTGCGACCCTGCGGTGCATGGGCCAACGGCATCATACCCAGGCGGGACACACGTAAGTCACCGACACAGCCCAGAACAAGACAACGGGTAGTCCGGCCGCAAGCTCTTCAACACCCCGTCAGCTTGAGGATGAAGGCCATACCCGGCAAGGGATGCCTGGAACGTGCCTGGGCCCCCCCCGGAGCACTTGCGGTGTGCTGTCCTAGCACATTCCTGGTTACAGCTGCAGCAGCTTCGCACCCACCGTGTTTGCGCCCTCCGCCGTCGCCTCCCCAGCATCTCCGCTGGGGTCCAGCAGCAGGTCCGGGTGATTGGCCACCTGGAACGGTTAGGATAAATGGAAGACGCAGTGGGGAACAACGTGGCGAGGTGGCAGGAGTGTGCCGGGGTTACTTCGTGGACGCGGCGGCTTCGGAAAGCGCAAGCACGAGTTTCTAAAGGCTCACGTGACACCTCGGAGCCTGACACTAGAGTCGCCGCCTTAACCAAAATCCGCAGCGCTATTACCTTCCGCAGCGCGGTGATCACGGCAAGCGTGTTGTCCTCTCCCCCACCGCCGCCGTAAAGCAGCGATGCTACAGCCTTGGATCGCAGTACGGCGCTATACAGGCCGATTTGCTGGTCGCTGGGCTTGCAGAAAAGCGTGAGCGATGTGAGGGGCGGCAGGTGCTTTGCCAGCAGCGCCTGTGTACGGCGGAGGATGAAGACTGCCACCTTTGATTGCAGCTCACTGCAGGACGACATGGAGGAGGGAGAAAGCGAGGACACGTATGTGTCTGTTACCGGCGCTGAAACGGGATGCCAATGCCCCCTCGGGCCCAACGGGACCTTGCGGTGTAAAGGCGCAACAAAGTAAACTGGCCGTCCTGTTCGCACCTGGCCCTTCCCGCACCCAGCTCCTTCTCCTCGGCCGTTGCAGTGGCCTCCTGGGACCGGGTGATGGGTATGCCGTACACGCGGTTGAACACGGCGGGCGTTCCCAACACGTCCGGGACTACGAAGGAGAGGAGCGCTGAGGAGGGGGGGAGGGAGGGGGAGAGGGAGGGGGAGAGGGAGGGGGAGAGGGAGGGGGAGAGGGAGGGGGAGAGGGAGGGGGAGAGGGAGGGGGAGAGGGAGGGGGAGAGGGAGGGGGAGAGGGAGGGGGAGAGGGAGGGGGAGAGGGAGGGGGAGAGGGAGGGGGAGAGGGAGGGGGAGAGGGAGGGGGAGGTGCGCAAGGCGGGAAGCAGGGAAGGGCGGCAATCGTCGATTAAGGCAGGCGGGGGCATATTAGTCCAGAGCGGCGCCAGTCCAAGGTGCTATAGGCTGCTGGTGAACCGTGATGAACTCAGCCGATTCATGCAGGTCAGTGCCGATGACGTGCATATAATACTTTGGGGGCGGCAGGTGGAACCCTCCCATCCAAAAGTAGTACGCTCTTCACAATTGCAGCTTCCTTCGGCCTAAAGGGGAGCAGTACCGTAACGCACCATAAAACTCCTTCAGGTCGTTTTGCACCGGTGTGCCTACAACAACAGCAAGTAGAGCGGGGCCATGCGAGTGGCAATGGAAAACGGTGAAATCTTACACAGCCAGCAGACCAGACTCCCAGACCAGGCGCTTGCTTGCAACGTGGCATGAAAGACACATTTCCATTTCCCTTGAGGAATGGCTACAGGGTGCTGTGTGGAATACCTTTATACCGATCTGGTTGGGGGCTAGGGAAGGGGTAATGGACCCAGTCATGGGGTCCGAAGTGGCATGGAGCCGGTCCCATGCTGACTACACCGATAACAAAATCCGCCAAGCCGACGGTCGGCCCACCAGTCAACAGGATCCGGCGAGGGCAGTCCAGGCTGAGCAGCGCATCGATCGTCTTGTTGCCGCCAACAGATTTCAGCCTGGGGGTGAGGGCCGTATGAATGGCGGTGTGGGTAACCACCGTGGAGGACCGTGGAGGACCATGCAGCAGGCGCCCACAGTAATGACCAGGAGGGCGACGAGGGCGAAGATGCGGAACGCGGGAACGGAGTCCGGCGCTGGCGTGGATCGCAGTTTTTCTGGCGATGGCAGATTCTGGTGATACAACTTCCTCATTGCACGCCCCGTACATGACTCCACCACGTGCAACAGGGCCGGGGAACGCTAAGGCCACTTCCTTGGGTTCCATCAGCCTTCCGTCAGTGCGCGGATGCAGATACCAGCAAGTGCATGCCCAGCACAACAGCCAGCCTAAGCACCATTGTTGTCCGGTGGGGGAATCGAGTTCTCATCCCACAGCGCATCCGTGCATCATCCCCCTTCCTAGGGCGACTTGCGGGCGGGACGAGGAGGCAGTACCACGTCCCCCCCCACACACACCTGTGGCCCTCGTCGCACACGAGCAGGTCGAAGGCACCCTTCAAATCGCCGGCATGCTTTCGGAGCGTCTCGTAGCTGTTTGGCGTGACGACAGCGGCGTAATGCGCATCAGGGAACGGGAGCACGTGTTCAAAGAGGGTAAGCGGGGTTTCCGATACTCCCATACAAATCTCATTAGTCCAAGCGCTAATGTAACGCAGAAATTAAGTAGCTCATTACCCGTGCGCCTATCAAAAACAACGACGCGCGGGCGGCGGCCCTGCCGGCTTTCCTTCCTTTATAAGGCACGCAACGGCTTTGTGAGGACATGCCAGAGGCTTAGGCCAAAGTCATCGCTTGCTTGTCCAATCGCCTAACTGGCCTGGTAATCATCATACGCTGTTGGCAGCCGTGTCGGAATCCCAGGATCTGCTCCTTGGCGGCTGACTGCTGCTTGGCGGCCGAGGCCTGCTGCAGGCACAGCGTCTGTAGGTAGGTTTGCCCGGTGACGGTGCCGTAGCAGTGCAAAGAAAGGCAGGGCAGGTAGAGGCACAACTGTCATGAGGGCGACAGGAATTGGGAAGAAGCTCCGTCGCTACGTCACGCCTAGGTGCCGCTGTGTCACCAGTCACCTAGTAAGCCACACAGACACACACACACATATATATATATATGTATATATGCATGCTTACACACACATGTATGTACAAGCAACAGGTGTGCGGGCGGCACATGCTTGGCAAGATAAGCGAGGTCGTTACACAGCCTAGGGCGCTAGCTAACATCCAAAGTGGTCCGCGACACCGCGAACCGCAAAACATTATAGATAATAATCAAGAGTTCTGCGGGATGGACGCTTGTAAAGGACGGGGTACACAGCTGACACTGAATGGGTACAGGTGGTAGGGATGCTGGATAGGTAGGTGGGTGGCTTATCCTGGCTTTCCCTACCTCCGGCTGGCGGTCCCCAAAAGCAGCATTTTCAACGCGTGTCGGCAACCGGGTCACCTACCTGCAGGCGCTCCGAGCCGAGCCACTTTTTGACCTCGCGTCCCCAGTTGTCGACAAGCGTTGCGGGCGCCACGACCAGCACCTTGGCCGCCAAAGGCCTGCCCTGCATTTGCAGTTTGTCGTACAAGCCGCTATCCGTCATGCCAGACATTGACTATTCAAGGACTTTTCAGGGACTACTAGTGTTCTTTAAAAGATAATCACGCCTCTCGTACTTCCGCCCAAACTTGCAATCACACCGTACGGATGGATAGGGCTACAGCACCACCACATCAAGCTCATCACCCGAATCCACCTCTGGGCCTTGCCGCAGGAGCGTCCATGCCAGAGTTATCACTTGAAGTGTCTTGCCTGCGCAGCGATCGGGGAGGAAGCCACCAGCCTAGTTGCACATTACAATTGATTCCGGCGGATTAAGCTTTGAATCTATGTGCAAGGCAATCTGTGCACGTACGTTATGCAACCCGCAAAGGCACACCAAAGGTATGCCCATGCCTGGCGCGATCAAACCCTCGAACCAAGGCTGTGCCCCTGCCGTGCTTATCACTGGGGATTCTCCCCAACTCCTGCTGCGACAATGCCCCATCGGCAGTGGTCAATAAGGTACCACGGCAAGGCCAGGTTCGGGACATTGCTTACCCAGGCCCATCTCGTCCGCCAAGATGCAGCCCGTCCTGTCGGGACTGGTCAGGCCCATGACCGCCTCGTACATGAACCGCACGCCCTCCTGCTGATGGGGCCGCAGGTGGCGGCCAAGGTAGCTGCGAGGCAGCGGGCGGCCGCCGACGTGGCCACCAGGTTATCAGCATGGCGTGCAGAGGGGGCACATCACATCGCAGGAGGGCCGGCGCGTTACATGGCAGGGAACGGAGGGATGCTCAACTTGAAGCCTCATGGGGCTTTACATACAGGATGAACGCCGCGTCACACCGCTACAGCGTAGGCGATCCCCTGCGGCTGCTGGCGGTAGGTTGTTAGGAGGGAGAGCCGGCCTGGTTGCCCCTCTCGAAAGGGTCCTGCTATGATGGCACTTATTATCGCGGTACATGCAGGCATCCCCGTTCACATGACTACTTCAAACGACTACACAGCGCAACTCAACACAGTGCAGCCCTTCCCTTTATTGTATCGCTTGGTGTAGTCACGCTGAACAATATTGTAAAGAGTGAAGGTATCTGTTTTAAGCGATTCAAAACCGCTGTGCTGTCGATTTTTGACGCTCCAGCTTTAAGCCGCATGCATATGGATAGCCGCATAATCACCTGCATGTGGAAAGCGCCGCCGACCCAAATCAAGCAAATGCCAAAGCAGACCACAGCCGTACGGGCGCCTGTCCACGCTCTACTTAAGCTGGGCGTGATGGAAGCATACAGCAAGGATAGGCCTGTATGCTTGAGCTAGGCGTGTCTGAAATACATAGCAGGTTTCAGGTTCACTTACGGATCGATGACCACTGGCACCACAGGCCGTCCGTCACGCAGCCGACCCCGGCCGCCATCCCACTGGGTGGGGTTGAGGACCACGGCGCCGGGGGCGGTGGGGTCGTACAACCCCTTGGCCGTTACTGCTGCCGCCGCCGCCGGCCCCGCTCCAGCCCCAGTGCACGACTTCCCACTTGCCCCAGATGCGGGAGCATGAGACTTAAACGCCGTTGCGGCAGGTTTGAGCAAGGCGTTGGACGGACCGGGCTTTGCGCTAACTGCCGCTGCAGCACTGTTACAGGTGTTGGTCATGAAGCAGGCGCCGCTCCTGTCAAGGGGTTGGGGTTATCCGCGGAGAGGGTGGCGTGATGGGCCGACGGCGGCACACTACCCTTACTCCCACCGTTCACTTTCTACAAGCATAATCATAGCCGTGCAATCTCATACACTACATGTAGGGGAGGCTTTACCATGCCACGAGGTGCAGCAAAGCAACCATGACGGCAAACGATTTGCTCAATTTGATTGCTTAACAATCCATGGATCGCTTTGACAGGCAGAGGCAGTCCTGTCGGCGCGGACCCGCCTGAAATCCTCGGACGTCAGCTCCTTGTCTACCTCCGCATGCCAGTTGCCAATCTCGAGCACCTGGTCGCCGTTTTCCAGGCTGCCAAAGCGCTTGAAACGGCCCTTGGTGACTATTTTGCTATCCTGGCAGGAGCAAAAGACAGGCAGAGAGCGGGGGCGTTTCCTGGGGAGCAACCGCTTATGCTCTTCGGTGAGGTGGTAATGGAGAAAAGGGTTCGTTTACTGCCACGTATTGGACTGCGGATTGCCTGATTTGGGTCGGGCAAAACTGCGCGTATCTTCGCTGCACAGCGAAGAACATGACCCAAATCGCCCAGCAAGGAGGTTGTCACTCCCTGGGAGCTTGCGTGTCGCACCTGGTCGTACAGAATGGCGCTGCCGTCGCCGAAAACTGTGATGATGCCATCCGCAAACTTTTTGCTTGCCTTTTTCTACAGCACAAACATGGGGATGGGCGTAAGAAATATTGTAGCTCATTGTCGACGGAATGGGTCCTTCAGGGACGATTGAAAGCTGCACGAAAAACCCGCGGTTCACTGCATGTGCAGCTAAAGCTAAGCCAGCAGAGCACAAGCCTTCAAATGACCACGTCACTTATGTGCGACCAAAGGATAGTCGACGGAGGCTGTACCTTGCTGAGCAGTTCCTTCTTTGTGTACAGTACCGCAAAAACTTCCGTGATTGCAGGAACCCCCGAAGCAGCTCCGATGCATGGTGCCTGAGTTGCTGTTGGCGTCTCTAACCGCTGCGCTTTCGCGGGCAGGGCCTTCCCCGTATGGAGGGGTCGCTTTGCGCGGATGTTGCCATATGCACCGCTGCTGCCGTTCGGAACAGTTGAAAGTGGCATACGGTTTTCCGGTTGGGCTTCAGTAGCACTTGATGGGTGTTCCAAGGTAGAGCTGTCCGACGGTATTGGAGAGCAGATTCCCTGAGGCGCAGCATCATTTCCTCTTGCCGGTGCCAATGTTTGGCCTCGTTCACCCTGTTGCTGCTTTACTGCGCCAGCACCTGTGACATCTGTAGCATTACCGATCCTCCTTGGTGCCACGAAGCCCTGCCGACCTTTCATCGGTGCCCCTTCTCACAGCATGGAAGGAGAACAGCCTAGAAAGCAGATATTGTTGCAGCGGGACAAATGCAAAGCAAGGGTGAAAGCAGCTATTATCAGAATCCCGTGATTTAGATAAGGTTATGGAACGTTTCTGTCCTGTACTTCTCGTCCATGCATGGATCCGGATTTGGCTCCAGGTGCCTACCGCGTACTGCCAGTGCTCTCAGTGTACGTCCCAAAGGCCAGTGAAGACGACATGGTACGCTATACTGCTCAAAGCGCTTCAGACTTGAACAGTATCCATAAATGTTTACACCTTTACAAATGGATTGGTTAATACGGAAATATAGGAACTGCCCGACGACGATTTTGTAGGGAGATGATTTACTTGCAGTAATTTATCCAGTGATAATATGATGATACTTTCGGCAGGATTTTGGCTTGTTGTGACGGCCTTGGCAGCACTCGCTCTGCAAGCCCAGGGGGGCAATTTTCCCCCGATGTATCGAGTGCATGCTTTCTATTATTTATGGTACGACGTCATTGAAACTGGGCGTTGCTTCGGTGCTGCTGGAGCTGTCTGCTACCTACAAGCCCTCGAATCCTGCCCTCCGGAAGCCGTAGGGGTCGACACCTCGCGACCTTGCTTGCACCATCCTGCCAGCATGCCCACCATCTATCATTATCTCTTGATCCGTATGCCGTGACGCCTAAGTGGCGTGTCACCTCCGTATCGTACACGCCGAGACATGTCAACAACTTTCAACCGCCAGGATCGCACCACCTGCACAGCTCCCCTCCCCCAGAGCGAGCGGCCACCCCATTCCTGCCCCCAAACACACCGCCCCCTTAGACTGTCCTACGTCCACCACGATCTAGCCGTGCCATCCCATGTTAGGCCCGGATCCTGATGTTCTGAGTGCCGTGACACCATCCATTACCTTCCGAGCGCGCTCTCCGCAACCCTCGTAGGTACACCGAGCCCAGCGCAGGTGGCTGGACGCATTGGGACCACGAGGTGCTACCCCACTGGGACGCGGCCGTGGCGGCAAAGCACACACATGGTGCGGCGGGTGCATTGACAACCTAGGCAGCGTGCAGTGTCGGGTTCGGAACGGCGTAGTGTCCCTGCTACCTGCAGGCTGCAGCTGCATCTAGAAGTAGCCAGCCAGGCTACTGCGACCCATGAAAGCCATGTCACTCCATCTTGGCAAGGGGTGGCTGCCATCGTGTGCGGTGGGGTGATGAGGAGTGTGGGGTGATGAGGAGTGTGGGGTGATGAGGAGTGTGGGGTGATGAGGAGTGTGGGGTGATGAGGAGTGTGGGGTGATGAAGGCACACCGGCTACTCGCACCCAGACTGACGCGGTGCAGGTTGCAGGGCTGGTAGTAGCCGACAGCGGCGTAGTCCGTGGTGGTGATAGGGCTGGTGTCCACAGCCTTGAGGACGGTCGCCGTGCGCAGAGTATTCCTGGATGTCTCTTCGTGGTTGCGATGTGTGTCCACACATCAAGTGAGCAACTCGACTAGGGCCGCACGTCTAACTTGATTGTCCAGCTTGGCTGGCCCTGTTCGGCCGTACGGACAACTGTGCCCTAACCAACCTTCATGGTGATATGGACAGCCGGCTAAGCTCGTGAACAGCCGCACGGAACCCTAGGTGTCCAAGGACCCCAAGGACGCTCGTTGTATGCACCCTCTGCTGGTTTCCGCACTTGTGGCGATGGGCCTTGCAGGGGTGCGCTTCGAGCCACCGGACTGTCTACACAGTCCGTACTATCCATTACGGGGTCCGTACTCGTCCACAAGCCGCGAACTCATTCGCCAACACCTTGTGGAAATGGAACAGTACGGCATCGGAGTCTTGGTGAGTCCGGTGACTGGTCGAGTGTTGGTTCCTCCCCGCATCTTTTGTTCCCAGCAATTTTCGGCCGCCTGGGATCTCGGCCGCCACATTAGTGTTTGTTTGTTGACGTGGAGCCTTGCTCGCTTGGGAGGATACCTGGAGCGCCGGAACCGTGATGACGATGACCCATGGGTCTGTGCGTCCGTCTCTGTGGCTGTGGGGTGCAGGTGGCGTCCTGGTGGGGGCCCCCCTGGAGGCAGGGTAGCCATGACACCCAGATGGTGAACACGGACAGTCGCCTGGAAATGGTGCGTTGAAGCTTGTGTAGGGGGCTTCGTGTTACGGGTCAGGTCGGGTCGGGTTGGGTCGCCTCGTTAGTTGGAAAAGCCGTCCTGCTCCTAACACATGCAGGAATACAGCATTGCTTGGATGCATGACGGCAGGCTGTTCATCCCTTAGCCAGCCTCTCTCCTAAGCCCGTCTAATGTAAAGCGGAAAAGCGGGGCACAGGCTGTCTGTCTGCCGGGGGGGGGGAGGAGGCGGTTGGCACCTGGCCCGATGTCTCTGTCGCTCGCCTACATTCTACCCGAGGTTGAGAAGGATGACTGAACCGCGGTCGTCGCGCATTACCAGCGTCTTGCTTTATATGCAGTTGCTGCCTTAAGAACGCTGTCATAAGGACAGCTGCATGGTGAAGTACCGTGTGGCCGCTGCCTTGTGGTGTGGCTGCCCTTGTGGCCAGTGGCCGTCTGCAACCTGCCATATGCCGCATGTTTCTGTCGTCTCGCTGTCTGCCACCGCCCCACGCCCCTCCTCCGGTCTCTGCAAGGTCATCAGGGAACTCGAAGAAAGCGGCAGCAAGGTTCGCATCGCGTTTCACTTGGAGCCGTATGAAGGTGGGTCGCGGTCACTAGTTTGTGTCCCTCCCTGAAGCACCCCACCACTTGCGAACTTCCTTGGACGTTAGTCGTCTTGACGTTCCCGATCCGTTCGCATACTCGCCACGTCTGCAGTCGAATGCCGTTTCCTTATCCTCACTCTGCTACCGCCCCACACCCGTGCGCCTGCCCCACCTAGGGCGAACCAAGGAGACGGTGCACGAGGACCTGGTGTATTTATCGAAGAAGTACCGCGACTCCCCCGCGGTGCTGCAAATCAACGGTGAGGGGCTCTTCCTTACGGAGGGCACCTAGGGCTCTGGGAGGTTTCTCAAACACGCTTTCCTGCTGCTACTTACCTTGGGCGAGGTGTTGGGCATGCCGGAGGCAGGTGTTGGACCTGCGCCAACGGTCTAAGCTGATCGCTGTTGAGATAAAAATTGTAGCACGTGGACACAAAAATAGCCGCAGCCACGGCCGCCCGTGGCAACGGATCTCGCTTGTTGCCGAGCGCGTTGGTCTTATTGGGCACCCGCGATGTAGGTGTGCGGCCCGCTCTGACGGGAACGGATCTCCGTACATGTGTACCTGTTATATCTATTTGCTCTGACTCGCCGTAGGGCTACCCGTGTACTATGTGTACGATTCGTACCGATTACCTGCCAGCGACTGGGCTCAACTGCTGCGCCGCAATGACGGACCCTTGAACGTGCGCGGGACGCCGGCCGATGGTAAGCGCGTGCATGCTAATTGTTGCCTTTTTACTGCCTTCTGTTGGCTTGTTTAGCGGCGTTTTAGTGTTCCTTGCATTGCGTTGCGTTGCGTTGCGTTGCGTTGCCTGTTCGTCGTCTTGTGGGCTTTCCAAGGCCTGTGTTGTTGTTGCATAGAAGTACCTGGTTCAACGCCAAGACGTTGTACGGGATAGAGCATGAGCCCATACGCTATCCGTCTGAAGCTGTGTGGACGTAGTTCTGTTGTCCACGCCCTCGCTGCTTCGTAGGCTTCTTCCTTGGCTTGTGGTTGGACAGGGATGACGGTGATGAGGACATTCTGCCAGCAGGTGGGAGGTAGCCGCGAGGGTTCGAGGGGCGGGTAGGCCCCGAAAACAGTGTTATGCTCTCCCAGGCACACATGCTTTACCCGTCAAGGAAGATGCCGCTCATTGCAGCACCATGTCTTGTTATATCGCGGTTGATCAGCGCCGCTAGGTGCGATACCGTGCTTCTCAGCGCAAGCATGTGCCCTGCCCTCTCCCTTACGTTCCTGCTCGCAGGCTTCGACGGGTTCTACACGTATTTCAGCAGGTGAAAGGGGATGGCTGCCACTGCCCCTTTTGCCGAGCGTTGCATTGCCCGCTGTCTCTTTTCGAGGAACGTTGTTTCGTCGTCTGGCCGTCACCTGGCCGCCACCTGGTCGCCTGCAACCCCCAAAACCTCTTGATTTCAGGACAGGGTCTCAACTGCGTCTTAGTTCCCGGCTGGCACCCAGATTGCCTGGAGAATTAATTACGTAAAAGCACTCTTTTGTCCGCCCTATCCGCAGTGAACAAGTCTCCCATGGGAGCAATCCAGAACACTGGGCCGGAATGCAAAAGTAAGAGTCGTGGGTTAAGGCGTCCACAAGCTACACTGCAGCATCCTGTTCAGCACATGCTAAATCCGGGCCCCGTAAGAAGCGGATACGGTGAAGTGCCCTCCTGCTTCCGTATTACGTCCCTGCTCGTATCTCGCGGGGTAGTGAGCTGTCCATGCAACCGTGCAATGCACCACAGGTGGGCTGTGAGCAAGGACCTTCTGTTCGTGCCGAGTATAGGTCCAGGATATCACGGTAAGTGCACTCGGCTGCGAGGAGTGTTAATATGCCCGTGATCCGGTAACTTGGTAAAACAGCTGGTGGGATGACTTTTGAGTTCATTTTGAGGAGGTTTGCGGGCTGACAACTGTGGCTACCTGTTGTCCATGTTTCCTGGCGCAGATGGGAAGATCCGACCCTGGAATTTGGCGGCGACGCGGGATCGCGATGGAGGCCAAAGGCAGGGAAAAGCTTGGTTGCGCCTTGGCTCAGAGTCACGTGCTGTTGTGCGCTCAGCGCCGCTACATGCCACTCCAAACCATGCCACGTCCGTTTTGGTGCACCGTCATCGGGGAAAGCTCTTCTCAAGTTGCAACCACTGCCAACCCCTTGCTCCCCAAACCGCACAGGAGGCTGTCCGGGGAACAAAAAGCAGTCGGAGAGGCCGTCCAGGAGGGAAACATTGGATCATGATACAACCATGCTGCTGTGTGTCGTTACGATTGTTACGATTAGTCTGCGCGCGTGTAGCTTCCATGGCTGAAGTCCCCAACATTGTTTCACCACCTCCTCCTCCTCCTCCTCCTCCTGCTGTTGTTGCTGCAGGTACCGCGCGCTGTGGAGTGCTGCACTTAGCGCGGGCGTCCAAATGGTATCGATAACAAGCTATAACGAATGGGGGGAGGGGACCCAGATTGAGCCCGCGGTGCCACGGGAGACTCGTCTGGGCTGCCAGTACCTTAGCTATGAGCCTGCGAGTCCCTATCTGTACCTGGAGATCACGAGTGAGGGCTCCAAACGGTTGGGGCAGCTGACGGCAGGTGGTGAAGGGGAGACATGCCAAGCTACTAGCGCCGGCGGCAATGGTGACGATGGCGGTGGTGTTGGCGATGGTGGTAGTGACGATATTGCAGAGCAGTGACGAAAGTGTACCATATTCCAAGGGATGCATATACCGTGATCAAGCTAGATGGTGATGTGTTAGACGCCTGGCTTTGGGCAAGTACGCGAGTGCCTTTATCGCGACGCGTTCCATATGCCAGAGCACCTGAAGCGGCTGGACTGCTTTCCTCCCCGTCAGCGTCCCATGTCGGAAAACCACGTCCTGTAACGGCCGTGCCGACCCACATACACCGATTCACCGGCAAGACAACGACCCCATGTCGTCGGTCCAGTCGCACCGTTCCAGTCGAAGCACTGAGTACCCGATTCCATGCTTCGCCAGTATTAGCTCCCACAAGCCGAGGATAGAAGTCCCAGTAGGATTTCACAGATATAAACAGGCTTGACTCTGAATTACCAGCAAGCAATAAGCTTTGCGCCTTCCCGCCTAACCGCACTTATCGTAAGCGTTGCGGCACCAAGAACCAGGATGCACTGCTAAATACATGCTGCGGCCACGCTTACTGCGTCCACCAGTGCCGGGAGCGGTGAATACGTTAAGTGTTACTTTGACGCCTGAGTGGCAAGCGACGACTGAAAAGTGATCGACAGAAACCGTATTCCGAGGCCATTAACGTATCAAAAGGACCAGCTGAAGCGATACATCTAACAGCGCTGACCTCTTGAGTTATAGACTTTTAAAAGCCATCGGCGAGGAGCTGGGCTTTCTGACGCCGGTTCTACCATGAATGCACTCCATTGAACATGTATATTTCTCAGGTCACTGACAATTTCAATACTACTCGGATTTGCACATGACACCTTCTCCGTAACGGACGTATTGATTGTCATTCACATCTTTCATCCTTGCGAATATTTATTTCTTGCCACTGCACGCTTAGCATGCTTTTGGAAGATAAACCTCGCCGATGTCCTCAGGATCATGGGACACAATTTGGCAACTGGTACGGCTTATGTTAAAAAAATGTCCTTCTGCCGCTGCAGCAGCCAGATTCCTTTGCCCTCTACAGCATAATCGTTTCAGAGCTCACTGCTTACTTTTACAAGCCGTTTCCTTGTAAAAACGTCCAGTTGAGGACCCTCCTGGTACCTTGTCGTGAGAGTTTTAGCCTAAAGCCAACATTACACTTCAGCAGCCTGTCGAGTCCGATATGGACTCTCAAGACGCCTCAGAAAACATGCGCCCTGCGAAGCGCGCTCGCTCGGAGACGGCACCTGACGTGGACATGGCGCTCGCGCAGCAGCAAGAAAGCAACGCCGTTCACCTTCTAAATCTTCCTGACGGTGTATTACACCATATTTTCCTTTTTCTTCCAGCAAATGCTTTAATGACCCTGGACTCGGTGTGCCGGTACTTCAACTACTTTGCGCATCGAGTTGCGAAGGAAAAGCTGATTGCACAAGTGGGCTACAAGCAAGCAGCGCGCTGGAGGTATGTTGATGCGCAGTGCTGTCGCTAAACCGACAAAGTCGCGGTATGCTTATCTTGCTTATACACGTGTAAACTTTAATGCACATCACGTCGTGCTTATTGATGACTTTTTCGGTTGCTTCTTTCAGCTCCTCTCGGTGTTGAAACGGAGCGGTATATAGGGTAGTTCTTCGGTTGTAGAAGCGAGAAATCGCTGTTGCACGCGGCGGGTTGAAATGTGCGTGTCGTTGCCTACAGGGACTATAATTGGCTGCAACGTTTGGCCATAGAGGAGACCGTCACGAAGTTCGACCTCGTACGGGGTGAAGGGCAGAGCTTCACGTTCACGGAAACGGCAAACAGCAAAGCCCTGCGGGAGATTCGGCTGGACCACCCGGGGCCACGCTTGCTTTTGAGCGACGTTTCCACTGCACAAACACTTATCCTGCGCTGGAAGCTCCAGTTGCGGGGTAACAATGCCGCAGAGGTCAGCTCCCCTCCTAGCGAATACACGGCGTGGGGCGAGGGTACCAAAGTATCGTGCCATGCCACAGTTTTGGTGAACGTAGCTGGCCAGTGGCTGCTGCACTGGATCCATTTTATAATGGGAACGGTATGTTCGTAGGGGCTGCAAGTGCAGCTTCCCCAGGGTCCCTTTGTGCTTCGCTTGACCTTTCGGTCCATGTCTGCTCAGAATAGTTCAGTTCAAAGCCTAAGAGGCGGGGTGTTTGTGACCCATGCTGCAATACTCTCCCTGACGGCGCCTGACGGTTGGTTTCCTTACATCGATCGGCCCACCCTTTTCCACCTGCGCAGTTCGGCGTTGTTCCGCTTGATATGCAGGTGGGTAGAGTTACCAGCGCACTGATTAGCGGCTTCCACGTTGCTGGCGTTCCGTGCTGTGGCCTGCTTTCGTGGCTGGTTGTCCTCATGCGCATCCGTGCTTGTGGATAGCGCTTCCTGTATTCGTTCATCCAGCATGCGCCTGATGCCTTACCCTCTCCAGGACCAACAGAAGGCGCTGCACAAGTGCAGCCCCAATGCGAGCGACGAGCGGGCAACGGGCTTTAGCTCGGCTATAACGGTGGGAAGCTTGCTACCGGCGCGGTTGCCAATTATGAAGGACACGATAGTGGAAATCCTGGTGACGCCGCGTGAAATTTCCTTCATCGTCTACAACCCCGAGGATGGTTCGGAAATGGTCTGGCAGAACAACTCCACGGTGGCGCGGCAATACAAGTGAGTGCAACCACAATGTGGTATTATGTGTATGCATCGGTTCCCTCAGGGTGCCTTGAGCGAGCGTGTCCCTGCGTGGCATTCTGCGGGGGGGCATGTTAATAGTTCTGCGGGAGCATCCCAGCCCTCACACATGGCGCCGCCGTTGTTCCCTAGCCCTGTGCATTCCGTGCATACGGCTCCTGCTAAGACTCACATCGTCGCGCGCACAGAGTGTCTTCCCCTGTGTGCAATAACTCGGCTGCCAGGGGTCCCCGGGAGCTCCGACTTCAGCTGCCGAACACCTATCAGTGCCCGGTGAAGCTAGCTGTCACTGCGTGGCAGCGCGCGGCGTTCGACGTACTGCACATGCTCAGTCCGCAGGAGTTAAAGCAACTACAGCAGGAACGTGGAAAGGGGGCGCATACAGGGGCTGTCACTGCTGCTAAGTGATCGATCTGATGCACAGCGGTGCGATGATTAGTGAACCGAAAATCCGACTTTTAAACTCAATGGCATAGAACCTGTTTGACCGCAACGGTTTTGGCTGTGTATGTGTATATTCATGGTGCTGCGGCTTAGACTGTAGCCAACGTGTCTCATTTTGATTGTTTGGATGCAATGGATGTTGGAGAATGGCAGGGGTATGTGCATTCCCGTGTGCAAGAGGACCGCTGCCCCTTTCGAAGAATCTTCCTGCGAAAGGTGTCCCTATACCCAGGAACACAGGAACAGATTTCGCTGAAGGCTCTTGGAGGCGCGATTTGTTGTTTGGTCATGTTTGTAGGAGGTGCGAAATATATACAGACCACAGTGCATGACATTGACCGTCCGTTAAGACCTTATATGCGTTATCACGTAGCTTGCCCCACGGCTTGCCTTCCTAACTGGGTTAGGGAGTAAATGGGAAGATTTTTGGCGGTAGCCACCTATGGAGGAACGTGACGCAGGTACATTGTGATTGGTGTTGGTGGTAGCGGATACACATATACATGTGGTTGGAAGCATGTTGCGTGAAACATATTACTGCATCTCTGTGCATATGTGTCCATGCGATGGTAGGCTTCCTGGGACACTAGATTTTTCCTTCACATGAGCATATGGCTTTGCCAGCAAATGGACCAATGACCTAATGATGTGTTGTACGCCCTGCTTGGATTGGTTCCATTGGAAAGGGCGTTTCCAATATGAATTATGCATAACATCTATGAAGTCAAAGATAGTATTACAATCACCTATTCTTATCCCCTCCAGATCCGGAGGAAAACCAATTGCCGTGCCACATACCCCCACCTGCAGGCTTGTAAGTCATTGCTAAATACGTGCAGACTTAAGTCGTAGCTAATCCTAAACAAATCCAAGCTGCTTCCCCCAGCTCATGCAGCGGTTCAGTCACTAGCCATTCCACCCGCCTCGACACGCCCACCCAACGCCTCCCGAGATTCGTCCGCCGTCCGCTGACGGGTGGATTAGCGAATCACCAGCAAGCAAGATGATCATGTACAGAATTAAAAAGTTGAACTTGAATCTGCCTTATGGGCAGCCCTTTGCAGGATATATTGTGTTGTCTCAACGAAACGGCGTGCACAGTTCTCCAAGCAGGTCTGCTCCTTACTTGACAGATAGCTTCCTGGCGACTGAATGCACGTGTCCCAGCAGACCTGCAGCCCAAGCAGGAAAACGTAGATAGTGTGCAGCCCGTGCGGATTGATGACAGGTAACCAAGGCGAACCTCCGTGAGTGTCGCGATCATGCTTTGGATCTGAGCTACTTGAGACTCCCGTGCGATGAACTGCTGAAGCTCCGCAGACACTGCTTGATCGTTTGGCGCAGCCATGATGCTCCCAGCCGCTTATGCAGTCCGACACGTTGAGAAGAAGCAGAGTAGATGTTCGGTATTACAATGTAACACTCTTTAAGTAGTTTAACTGTTCAGTCTAAGAACTTGGCTCCTCAAAGGACTATGAACCCAGCGATTTTAAAGAGCCCTGAACAGCGAGGATTAAGGACACGCCAGCAACAAAAATAAAAGATTGATCAAGGATCAGGCTGAACAAAATCGTCCCTGTACTGCACAGCACAACGCCCGATGAAAAATCGCGTTGTACTACAACAGAAAACTTGCAGACATCGCATATCGAAACAATTATCGTTCCGCAGATGCGTCAAAATTGTTCCCGTGAAAGGCCATCATGCACTCGGACCATTCTTCAGGTTCTGGGCGCCGTCGATGACCTTAACATACTCAATCTTGTCGCCCACCTGCGGAATGACAGCGACGACGGAACCAGGCGCTAAGGCGTCTCAGCAGGAGATTGTAGGCACAAACCGTAAACCATCTTTATGAGCACGTCAGCATGTGTTTGTCACAGGGCACCAGTACGGAGGGAGCACCGTGCAAGACCAGCCATGTGTTACCGGACACCCGCCGGGTGAACGCTAGACATCCCTCCCACACTCCCCTTGAACCCACTTACTCCCAAAATGAACCCACCTTAAAGTCCGCGAGAGCGTCTTGCCCCTGCGTGATGTAACCAAATACGGCGAAACGACCATCCAACAGGTTGGAGCCAGTGGGTGTCAGCTCACTCTCCTTCAGCAAGAAAAACACCTGGCTAGAAGCCGAGTTGTTCTCAAACTCGTTCCGGGCCCATGCCAGCGTACCGTACGCATTGAAAGGCAGTACGGGCTGCTCATTGACGCGACCTAGGTCCTCCAACGTAAAGTCATAGATCGGCTCCTTGTCGCCAATCACCTTCACCTCAAAAGGCACCCTACAGCAAGGGCACATTCACACATACCGCCAGGTGAAAACGACCGACAACGCGAACCTGAAGACATAATAGCACGAGGATATGGGCATCGCCGGGTATGTTGTGCATGCAAGTGTGAGGACGAAGTTCGGGGTTGTGTGACGCCGGGCATGCCATGCCAAGCGGTTACAGGGCGCGCAAGCAGTCAAGGGCTGTTCCCTCCTGGAGGTTTGCCCTCCATGCCCCAATACATACAAACAAACAGGCTGCTGCAAAGCGGGATAGTGCATACAGGAGACAACGACGGCAAGATAAGCGACGAGGTGTCAGCGTAGCGTTGCCTTTCCAATTGCCGCCCAGTCCCATCGCTAAGCGCCCCTCGTGAAGATGTAACTAATCAACAGGCCGATTTTTTTGTAACAGTCCGTTGCAACTGAACTAACCGTCGGATATCGCCCGTCTTGGGGTCTACGAAGCCGTCCGCAGGGCCCTCCGGGTCGCCAAACTGCACTACGAAGCCATCCGCCCGCTGGATCTCCATGTTATCGTAAAACTTGCGCAGCACCAGGTCCAGGAACTGGCCTGCCGAGACGGGCGCGTTGTAGCCGTCCAGCACGACAGTCTGCACAACGGTCTGCGGCCCCTCCGGCGTCTCCCGGCAGCTAATCTTCATCTCCAGCGTGGCTCGGCCCTACCATCGCGCGGCCGGCACGGCGGTATGCCGTACGTAAAACAGCATGTACAGGGGTCGTCCCGATAAACACAGCTACGTACAGCGCCGCCGCCTATTGCAGCGCCTTGCTCTCTCTGGCATTACCTCTAGACAAATATTAAAGAGTCAACATTACGTCAACCGCTGAAACACGTCTCAGAACTACTTATCTTTTCTTGATTGAAACCTCTTGGAGCCGCATGGGATCCCGACAGTATCCCCAGGAGGTGGCGCCGCATCTGTTCCCCCCCCCCGCTTACCAGCAGCAGCGGCCTGTCAGCGTACTCAGGCGGCACCTGGAAGGGGAAGCCCTTCACCATGGCCTCCTCAATGTTGCCCACGTAGGTGAGCGCCTCGCGCTGCTTGATAGGGACCGCCTGCTTGTCCTTGGCCTCCACCGTCGCCTGGAACTCGTTCAGGGCTACCTGCAGCTTTTCGATGTTCTCCAGACCGAAGTCCTGCAGGTCAGGTCAGGAGCCGGGCGAAATCGTCTAACAGTATGATTCGCGAATAGCAAGGCTGCGCAAGTTGTAGTGGGATCCATGCCGATCCAGAAAGCGGTGCACAAAATGCTAAAAGCGGGTGCGCAGGGCATGATGATGGTGGGGGGTTCAGGGGTGGCAACGAGGGCTCAACACGGGGCATGAGCTCAAACAGGACGCTCGCTTGTGTAAAGGTTGGTAAGACAAGAGCTTTGGCTACTGCGCACAGCCAAAGTAGAGAAATTTTCCTAACAGAGGTTTTAGAAGCATGGAGGGGACGCGGCTGCCTGTAGTTAACTGTCGGGGTTTGAAAGGCGACCGGCAGGGACGGGGGTAATAGCGGGAACGGACCTTCTTCTCAGGGGCGAAGTCCTTCACGATGGCATCCCGCTGGCGTGTCAGTACATCCTGGGAAGCCCGGATAGCCTGCAATACCGGATGTTTCAATAGCGCTGTTGCCAGCAATCAGCCAGGGCGGGCCGCTGGTTCCACAGGCCTTACCCGCGAGACCGGCCCAAGGGACTTCGACCCCGGAATCCTCAGCGCCTCGCTAATGCTCTCCAGGTCTTTCTGTTATGGATAAAGGTGGGTATTAAAGCGTCTGTGGGCGTGTGGCAAGGGCCCCAAAACTTTAACCCCACCTGAATTTGACGGATCGGCTTGTTATTGATGGGAAGCGCGTTACGCAAGATCGCCTGAGCGTTTTTAACAGGGTCACTGGCGACCAGAATAGCGTGTGCAGGAGGTGGCTCGAGCTGCGAGCAGGCGCACGCCACTGGGTCGCGACTGTATGCAAGCACCACACACACGGATGCGACTCGACTGAACGCGCACCACAAGTGGGCTGAAGGTGCCCATAACGACCGCCGCCGCAGTTGCAAGGCCAATTGCAGCTCGCTCCAAAGGGCTTCGAGTGCTTGGCTGCAGGAGTTGCGTCCAATTCCGATGTCGCGAAAGAACTCCGCGGAACGTAAGTAAAGGAAAAAAGAAAAGCTACCACGCACCTCATCGCTTGGGCTGCTAATTTGGTTGACAGCCCTGCAAATGCGAGATGAAGCTCGCTGCGTGCGTGAGACTGAGCATGCAGACGCGACGCGAGCGGCCCGGCTATGGCTTGTCAGATTCATGAGAGCAGGCATTTTTGTTGTGATCTAATGGCACCACTCCAGCAGATCAGTTACCACGGTGTTTTTTGGCCCAAGTTCAGCTTACTAGGTGCAGGGCCCTATGCTGGCGTACGTATTTTGAAAGCATGCTGGTATCTTGGCACATGGTCTGTTGCATGATGCCTATTACAATATTTTTGATCCATGTTTTTATTTCCTGGACTTACAATTCATTGCACGAGCTGTACTATTAAAACCGGCTATCTGCGGAATGGTTTGGGTCATTCACATCGAAATCTCGGGACAACGGCAAGCCGATAGCTTTTTGTTGACCGCGGGAGACTCCGGGAGTAAGCGGGAATTCACGGTTGGTCGCCCACCCGCGAAAGCTGACACGAGGCCAGACATCGTTGTACCCGAGAAGAGCGTGAGCAAAATCCACGCTATCCTTCATGTGGGCATCGACAATGATGATAGGTTTGCATTATGCCGTCTGTCAGTCGCAGGTGGGCACTGTCAGGCGCGTCTCGAGGTTGTTCGCCTGCCCTCACGGAATCATGGACGACAGCCATATGTCTATCTGCTACCCTAAGCATCCCCCATGAATCCGCTGCTTGCCACCGACAAAGATCGCAATTCCTTACATCTCCTAGCTGTGCGGGGACCCTGCGGATGCCCCATACGTTGGAAATTTCGGTCTCTCACACCTAAACCCTTATGCCTGCCTGCCCGCCCGCCCACGTACTACAAATCGCCCATCTATTCCGTCGTCCCGTCCCGCACCCACAACATCCCAGACAGGAGCCGCTATGGCACCAGCATCAATGGCCGAAAAATGGCGGAAGGTGCCTTTATGGAGCTTCACGCGGGGGACGTGGTACAGCTGGCCGCTAAAACCTTTCTCATGTACGTACCCGCTCCTAATCGCCGCGGTCGTGTAGATTGCGGTGTGTGCGCGCGCGTGTGTGTGTGTGTCTCCGCCTCGGACGACCCGGACCCCCAAGTCGTCTATGATAAGCTTCCCCTTTTTTCATTCCGCCTAAGCGTCCTCCGCTCGCCATGGCGGCTGGGGGGGCCTGGGGGGCGAAAACAACTCCAGGTATTCCTTTGAATATTCTACCTAATCGCCGTAGCTAAGCGCTAGAGAACTAGGCCGTTGAAGCGCTACCCGGCCCTCTAAATCCCCTCCCCTCTTTGGAACCTTTCGGGGGCTGCTGACCCCCGGGGCCCACCTGCGATTGCAGTGTGCAGGAGCTGTCGCTGGCGGTGGCGGTGCACCCCCAGTACCCCCGCAGCTTCCAAGTGCGGGAAGCAGCAGCGAGAGCGGGTGGGTGGGTTCGGGGGCCGCTGCGCACCCCGTAGTGACGGGTTGGGAGGCCTGGCCCTGCGGGGGACGGCTGCTGGGCGGCCCACCGCTGGCTGAGAGACGGGGGGGGCCCTGCAGAGGCCGCCCATTTCCACAGAATTCTTGTGCCCTGGGACATGGGTTTGTCTCGATCATTGAATCGTTATGGGGACCTGCTCCAGAGCGGTGCTCTGCAGCCCTGACCTGCTGCCCTGACCTTGATCATCTGTTGCCGATTACGCCGGTATGGGCACCGCAGGCATCCGGTTGACGCGCATGTACGACAGTGGCTCCACGACGCATGTGCTGTATGACCCTGGGGATGACGTCTGGTCGGCAGTGGTGCAAGGCGTGTTTCGCGGCTCGCCATTGGTCGGACTGGAGTGGTGCGTCCGTCGTACATGCATGGGGCACGGGCTCGAGGTCCGGGTTATCCGTTGCTTCGGGCCCCCCGGGGGGGGCCGGGAAACGGGGGGAGGGGGAAACACCTTGACGTGTCCACGCTAAGATCCCAGAAGATGTTTGTTGCGCTACATGGGTGTTTTATTAGTCCGCTGCACCTCCGTGAGGAACGTCTCCTTTCCACCTGTCCAAACCCATACCCCGTATTCGCCACCACGTTGGACGAAGAAGTCTTGACCTGACCCTGCGCTCGTCCGTCCCGTGCGGTCCACTGCCGGCTCTGGTCGCGTAGGCTGTGCCGCGTAGCGTCTTCGGGCCTCATGACGAACTCCCTACCCAGCGCACCCCCCCCGGGGGAGGTGCTCCTGGGCCCGAGTCAGCCGCCGGTCCGGGTGCCTCTCCCGGCCCCTCTGGGGAAAGGCCATCGGGGCGTCCTGGAGGGCTTCACGTTTGGCTTCAGCAGCGCATGGCAGGTCAGTGCTCAGAGGCGGTGGCGGCGGCTGGGATGGCGATTAGGAGGGCGCGGCGCCACGGCGCATGGGGAGATGTGCATCGCGGTCGTTGTCTGAAAGGGCTGGTGTTGCGCGGTGTGTACTGCTACGGCTGCCCGGCTGTGGTGGCCTGCAGTGCGTCTTGCAGTGGCCATGTCTCGTTACGACACCGACCGCCCAATGGGCTGTCGATGACTTGCAACCTTTTGACGTCCAAGGCCCCTATCAGTGGCCGCAGCCCAGCGGGTCCTGACCCCGTTGTCCCCTACCTTCGCTACTCCCTTGCCAGCGCTGGCGCTTCCTTGTACTCTGCGACACTTGCGGCTAGAACCGGGTTTTTGGAAGAGGCGGTGGGGGATGGTGGAAGCACAGCCAGCAAACACAATAAGTGGAGGCCCTCTGCGCTTTTGCCGTAATACCACCACCACACTGAAGGCCTCCGATTCCGCCTCTGGTTGTCTGATTGTGATTTGCACAGTAGTTGGCCCCTTGGTCGGGGTCAGGGTCAACCTTTTCCCACTTCTTTCCTTTTTATCTTTCTCCATGACCGTACGGCACCGCTCCGAAACCCTCAGGACGACGGCCTAGCCGCCCTGCTGACGGAGCTAGGTGGTCAAGTGGCGTCCAGTTCGCTGGATATTGGACCCAGCACCGTAGTGGTGGTGCTGAACACTGATAGCAGCAATGGCTGTGGCGGCCGCCGTGATGGGAGATCTCTGCGTGCGGAGCAGCTATTGGTAGGTCGCAGGTTCCTTTTGACTCGTTGCAAGGACGGCTGTGTCCGAAATTGAAGTACAAGGCATGGGGCAATGGGAATGTGGGGAGGGAAGAGATGTGTGCAGAGGGTGAAGTTCGCAGACGTGGTGATGCGTTCTTCTTCGCGCGCGACTCACACGCACCAGGAGCTCCTCCTTGTCTTAGCACGTAGTCAGTAGTATTACCATAGCCCGAAACCCATCATTTGCACACACACGCCCTTACCAGCTTGCATTTGTGACAGCTCCCACATGCCCTTACCGCTGTGTGCCATGGGCAGCTCTATGACGTCGGCAGCCCATGCCATGCCATGCCCGTCCATCCACATCTACTGACCGACCCCTCGCTCAGCCCAACTCAGGAGGCATCGTATATAGTCCTAGGTCCGCACCCGAAATCCCTTTAGCCAGCGCTAGAATCAAAGCCTGTTCAGAGCACCAGTTCGGGCACCATGGTAACCAAGGTCATGTGGGTGTTCGTGTGCCTGTCGCATGTCGGACAGATCTACCTCTTGACGAGGGACGCAGCGGCGGTGCGGCAGCTGATAGCCTCAGCCAGCCTCAACGGCAACAGTGGCGGGAGCGGGGCGGGACATGGGAGGCAGCAGAGGGCAGGCGAAACCCTCCCAGGGGCCCCGGAGGCTCCCTCCCCCCAGGACTCCGACATGACCCAGGCAGACGACGATGGGCAGGCAGGGGAGCAGCCGGAGGAGGTGTCGACAGAGCGCAGAGACGGCGCGAAAGGATTGGTTGATTCGCGGCCAAGCGCACGGAACCGCGTGCAGGTAGGTGGCGGCGGGTAGACGTGGTGAAGCAACAGACCGCTTTCTGTCCGGGCTTTGCTTGGGTTGCCATGGCAGAGGCTGAGGGGGTGTTGTAGGCACAGGGGCAGCAGCCCGCAGAGGTTTGCGGTCCGGACAGGGCGGGACGAGGGACATGGACGGGTCGATTGAGGCTTTGTTGTGCTGTACCCGTAGGACGCACCGCACTCGGTTGGCACTGCTACTGGTACTGAGCCCCTTGATGGTGGGAGAGCTGGGCCACACGGTCAGAGTGGGCTGGTTGGGGAAGCTGCAATGGAGGCTAACGGATGGCTGACAGCGGCGAGGCGTCTCGAAGGTGCGTCTGTAAGACCACCATAAGTGTAAGGGTGGGGGAAAGGTGGAATCAAAGGGGAGGGTGACGCTATCCGCCGGACTGCAATTCTATAGCAGTGCACCTTGACACGCTGGACTTTTCAGCTGACACGTCTGCCTGGGTGAATTGCTGAATCCTTGACGTAATATGGTGTCATGCCGGGCGATAATTCACAACACTCTCATGCTCATGAGCCTACGAAAGGTGTGGTTGCATGTCAGCAGACTAACAAGTTCTGCGTCTTAAAACCAGCCAAGGTGCTGCACCAGCGCCTCAGGCACTGCTGCTCCTCTGCCCGGCATCGATTCGTTTCGTACTTTTGTTCCACATAGCCGATAGTTGTATAGCGTCTGCCACCACCGTCCACGACCGTTGATCATGTTGCGTATCTCTCGTTCCGATACCGACATGACAGCCCGCCTTTGCCGTTTGCTGCCCTGCGCCCAGACGCAAGCTTTCAGCCCGATACGGCAACCGCCGTCGCCACGGACACACTCCAACAGCTTGTCATTAATACCGCACCCGAGGATGCACCGCCTCCAAAGCGGAGGCGATTACTGTCGACATCTGCTGCTGCCCCTAAACCCATCAGCCATGACGCAGCGCTCACCGGTCCTTCCTGTAAACCAGCCTACCAGCCCGCCCATACCCCCGCGCCCACGCAAACGCCCACACCCTCGCTCCTGCACTCCCCCTTGCCTGCAAAGCACGATCCCGCGGGGGATGCGCCCTGGATGACGACCCAGCATACGCAGGGTCAGGCAGGTCAGGGCCACAGCCACGGAGGCCGCCGCAGCGGTGTGGGATTGGGACTACTGCATGGCTCTGCTACCCCAGCCGTGGCCGCGGCACTAGTCGTCAAAACGGAGCCTGCTACTGCGGCACCGCAGCCCTCCGGGCCCGTCACGATCACTAAAGCTACAA